ACCAGGCTTCCTGTTGCATTTGTAGGTTCATCTTGGGGAGAAAGACCTAGGCTCTGAAACTGATGGTTTGTTGCTCTTAAAAGAACCAAGAACAGTAGCACAGGCCTATAATCCCAGTGACTTCAGGAAACTGAGGACGAAGGATTCCAAATTAGAAACTAGCCTCAGCAACTAGTAAACTGTCCCAAAATGAAAAATACAACTGGGGATGTTGCTCTGGTAAGGTGCCCCTGGCTTCAATCCTCAGTAACACACAAGCTGAGACCACTGAAATAGTTGTTCATATTTACTGAAAATAAATAAATATATATATATTTAATGTTAAGGTCGCAAAATGGAACCAGACTGCCTGATTCAAATTTGGGCTCCACTAAATTACTTCAGTAACAGTAAATTCATCTCTCTGGTTGGGTCCTAAACTGAAAATAGTAATTGGATGTGCCTTACAAATTGTGAGGATTAAATGCATCTATATGTATGTATAAAATACACATACAAAAGATATATATTATATATGTATATATATTACACACACACACACATATATATATCTTCATATAGTGGAAAAAAGAAGGGAGTTTTGGGGTATTCTGATTTTGCAAGGGGGAGGGGATTTGGGGTGAGATTAGAGAATTTAATGGAGTTTAAACATACAGAGTGTGATTGGGATTGTCTATTTTCCAGATTGTGTGTATGTGTGTCCCTATATGTATTATGTTTCCTTACATCAGATGTCCCACATTGGCTCACCCAGGTCTATTTTGTTTGGCTCATGCTAATAATTTAATGAAAGACCAATATCTCAATTCAGAGATAGCAGCTAAAAACACAGGTTTTCAATTTTTATTTTCCCCAAAGTGGGATATATGCCAGCCCTTAAATAGTCCTCTGTTGCAAAACACATCTGATTCACCTTTAGGAAAGGTGTTCTGTTTGCCAGGTTCTCCAGTGTCATCTCCCCATTACAGTGGCAAGTAGCACTCACCATTTATCATTATGCTTGCACCCCTATTTTTTTCTTGTGCCCAGACAGTTTGCATTGCCTGGCTGCCCTCTAGATATTTGCAGTTGTTTTTTCTCGTAGAGACTAAATGATATATCTATTTCTCAATGACCTTTAAAAAAATCTGTTTATTACTCTTCTCAATTTAATAGCTATTAGAGTTAGTGACAGTTTTAGAAATGAATCAAGAATTGATGGGAGTGGGAACTACTGAGACTCACATTTTTGTTTAAGGTCCTAAAATATTATAGTCTCCTTTATTTATAGTTTCACTTTCCTCAGTTACGTTACTTGTGGTCAACTGCAGTCTGAAAATTTCTGGAAAATTCTAGAAATAAGTCTTTCAAAATTTTACTGCACACCATTCTGATTAGCATGATGAAATTTCATGCTATCCTGCTTGATCCCATACAGGACCTCAATCATCCTTTACCCAGCATATCCACATTGTATACATTACCTGCCCCACAGTAACTTAGCCCTTTCATTATCAGTGAATCCACTATCATGGTATCTTGGTGCAAATAATCCTTCTTTTACTTAATGCCACAAACAAAATAGTAGTAAGATAGGCAATTTGGATATGCCAAAGAGAATTCATATAGTGCTTCCTTTAAGTGAAAAGTTGAAAGTCTTTGACTTAATAAAGAAAGAAAAAATCCTATTCTGAGGTTGCTATGATCTACCTTAAGAACAAAACAGTATATATAGGGTTTGGTTTGCACTGGGGTTTCAGGCATGCACTGGGAGCTTGGAACTATCCCCCACAGATAATGCAGAACTACTGTATTAAAGTATGTCAAGAAAGACTGTTGCTTGTCAGATGTGGTTGGCTCATGCCTGTAATCCCAACGGCTCAGGAGGCTGAGGCAGGAGGATTGAGAGTTCAAAGCCAGCCTCAGCAACATAGTGAGGCACTTACCAACTCAGGAAGACCCTGTCTCTAAATTTTTTCAAAAAAGGGCTGGGGATGTGGCTCAGTGGTTGAGTACAAAGGTGCAATCCCCTGGTACCAAAAACAAAAACAAAAAATAAAGTCTGTTGCTTAAATTTTAAAACAAGGAATATATAAACTCATATAACTTGCCTTTCCAAAATGTATTTTCTCACCCCCAAATATGGTAGTTGTTTAAACATTACACGTTTAATACAATTTTATTTTCTGCTTCTGAAGCACTATGAAACATCTTCTAGGAGTAAATGTTTATATTCTTAATGATCTCAGTGACTGAAGATAAATGGAGCCACCTAAACAATAGGTGTTATCATCTATTCATATATCCATAAACTTGAACCTCTTTATGTTTTCATTCCATAGTGTATCTTTAGAAGCTGAGAAGAGTGGGGAGGCATTAGCATTTCTTTTTATTTATTTATCTTAGAACTTCCAGGGAGAGCTTTCTTTAAAGATTTAATTAATAAATCCTTTTCTCATGCTACATTTATAAGGTCTCTCTTCTTTACTGCCTTCATTCTATGAACATTTTAGTTGCCCTTCCCATGAGATACATAAAGTTTCTTGAATTGAAGCATTCATGTTGGTACATCTCTACCTTCTTCCACTAGTCATCTCCCAGCACTGCAGAATAACTCAATATCAGCCCCTGAGTCTGAGATCATTGAGATCCTAACTTTGGTCCCCACTCCAGCAGCAGGCTGAACACAAACCCACTTAATGCTATTACCAGTGTAGAAAATATGTGAGCTATTCTCAGAGATACATCCTTGCTATAGCTACTGGTAGTAGAAGTTACCCATGCCCATTCTTCCTACCTTTGTTTGGACTGAAAAAAAAATGATGCTGTGAATTGAATAAGATAGTAAAGGAGAAGTAGAGGCTGAAAATAAATTATGCCCATCACATGAATAATAATTCTATTCTTCATAAATTCAATTCCTTTCAAGCACTATTCAAAGGGACATTTCTAAAAACTGATCATTCAATTCTGCACATAGGCCGTCACCATGATATTTCCAGCTTTTCCTGTTCTTCCTGCCTTACAAAATTCTGAGGTAATTCAAGAGCTTCTAAATTCATATCATAACTAAAAGCATTGAGCCTCTATGGTTATCATATACAAGGGTGAAAACTAAAACTAAATTTTATAGCCACAGAACTCTTGAGGTCAAAGCATATGAATGACTTAATGAATGTTTCATCTTCCACCCAGATGATTTGCATCTTCCAGGTTGGTACAGGACAAAATGTTATGCTATCATTATACCAATGGTATCACCTCTCTTGGACAATCAGTCAAGAACCAACTAGATGGGAAGCTATTTTGAATTATTTCATATCAAGTATTTTCCTCTAAGATATTTTATATTAATGCATCAGCAATGCATTTTATTCCATTTTTTAGTTTAGAAAATAAAACAGCCCTCAAAACATGTACTTATAAATTACTGACAATTTTATGATTTTGTGTATTATGCTTTTCCCAGTAAGTACTTAGTACATATATGAAAAAAGTCTCTGAGAAGGAATGAGTAAATAACAATACCAGATACCGTGTGACTGGCACTGTACTAAATGATTTACATCCATTACCTCATTTAATCCTCTAGCCCTGTGAGATATTGTTAAATTCATGCTCTCAGAAACCCTATGATAGTCCTGTCAACTTCATTTTCTGTTCTCTTCACATCTCTCCCAGATATCTCAGAAAGATTCCTCAATTTTCCTTCCTCCTTCTTCAACTTACTTGGGAGTTAATATCTGACCATAATTGTGACTGGTAGTTATGATTCTTTGCAAATAGAATTATGTAAAGGCAAAGTTATGAATTAATTTTAGACCCATTTGGAAAAAAAAGCAGGATCTACATCTCAAAGTCCTATCTAAATACCCAGAAATATCCTTCAGAATTTTATATATATATATATATATATATATATATATATATATATATATATATATGTAAGTATATATATATGGATTTATATATAAATAATTTAATTATTATTATTATTAGAAATTACTTAGAAACTTTCCATCATTTTGCATACACACACACACACACACACACATATATCCCCTATGATAGGTACTGTGCTCTGCAGTTCACTGATGAGGAAAACTGAAGCTCACAGTGGAAGGATGACTTGCTAATAAATGGAAAAGCCATCATTTCACCCTCACATAACCTTAAACTTAGTGTTTTATCATTACCAGTGCACATTAAGCCTTCCACAAATCCTTGAGCATTCCATAGAGTAAAACCTTAAATATTAAGAACCTTGAACTGTGCACTATATATTAGATAACAGAGAAAAATCAAATACCAATACATATAAACAACCTGATACAAGTAATTTAGCTTAAAAATTAAAACCAAGTCAAAAAGAATATCCTAGTGTAGGTACATAATTAGCCATACCTATATATCTTTTATATTTGCTTCAGCAGTGCTGTTCTATGAGAAATGAGGTTCATAATGAAAACTTGGGCATATTGTAGTATCATAAATCATCAAGAGAGAAAATAAGTTCACACAATAAAATTGTAGAAAGCTTTCAACCACAGGAGTTGAAAGAAAATGTCTTTTGCTTAAATTTCTGTTAGCTACAACATTAACCCTGACATCACCCCTCTCCTTGGTCTGTCATCTGCACCCCAGTCCAATACACACTTCATTAATTCTGATAATGGAAATGCTTTCCCTTTAGGGAGAGCTGGTGGAGAATAATCAATGACCAAATGAAGGATATTAGTTAATAAATGGTATTTACTGTGTTCTTTGAACCTTAGTTCTTTATACAAAGCTTATTAGAGAATAGCAAGTATGTAGGCAGTTAAATGCCTAAATGATGGCTTAGTAATACTACTATTCTAATTATTGTCATATATAAATATACATAAGTCTTGGGCAGATTTTTTCCTTTATGCCTTGTTAAATGATAGGCATACTCTATTGGACACTTTATTTTCCTCTACCCCCCAGTTCTCCAAAACAATAGATGACATATAAACTATAAATGATATTCATTGTCTCACCTGTTGGTTGTCAAGATTCATCAGTGTGAGGCTGCACGTTGAGATGGTCAGTTTTATATTCATTCCCGAAAACTGAAGGTTACTTTTGCCAAGAACTGTTGATAGGAACTTAACTGGGGGCTTTAAAAATAACAAAACAACATTGCAAGTTATGGATTTTGTTATAGAATAAATGGTAATGTTTTTTAAATGTTAAAAATGAGGCAAAGCCCATATTCTTCCTCTCTATTTCACTTTACACGTATCAAATGAGATGAAATGACTTTTCATTATAACTTATACTAGGCCCTGGGGTCATAAAGCAGAGAAAGAAGTACCAATACAGGGTATCTCTTTGGGATGGGTTGGCCAATTTTCTCAAGCAGAAGTGCCATTTATGACCAGAAGTGCTGTATGACCTTGAAGAAATACCCTTTTTAAGCCTCAATATCCTTTTGTATAAAAAGTAAAAAAAAAAAAAAATAGAAGCTACACCTTATAAGAGCTGTTGTAGATTGAATTAGGTAATAAATGGAGAGCATTTAGCATAGTGCTTGGCTGCATGCATGAGCACTATTATTGCTATTGCTATTGTTCTTCCAACTCCAAGATCCTCAAAGATAGTTTGAAGGATTTATATACTCTGATGGAATCTTGGATTAAGTTTTGAAATCCTCTACTGGAAAGTGGGCCAGTTAAGGATAGAAAATGAGTGATTGCCTCAACATATGGATCAATACTTTTTTTTTTTTTTTTTTTTGGTACCAAGGATTGAAATCAGGGGCACTTGACCACTGAGCCACATCTCCAGCCCCTTTTCATATTTTATTTAGAGACAGGGCCTCGTTGAGCTGCTGAGGCTGGCTTTGAACTCGTGATCCTCTTGCCTTAACCTCCAGAGCCACTAGGATTACAGTTGTGTGCTACCACACCAGGCTGGTTCAATACTTTGAAGCAATCAATTAATACATACTTTGGTTTCTTCATAGTTTTTCTTGTATATTACTTTTATTTGAATCCTTATGAAACCACATCAAACTGTTAAATATACATCATTGAAATTTGATGTAGTTTATTTTCAATTCTAAGTACATTCTAAAATATGGTGATGGTGTAACTAAGATACCCCCCAAAACAGGTATCCTTCCATCATAAAGTTGACTCTTGGTTTACTTTCTTTGCTCTTTGTATAGTGCTTGGCAAGATAAGCCATAAATCCAGGGACTTTGTGTTATCCAAAGTGATTATATTTGGGTTTTTATTACCCAAAATGATTATATTTGAGAGTGAACCACTTCCTTGCTTCTTCTGAGTTTCTTTTGCATGCTAAATGTTAAAAAATTTTATTAAATTCAAATTAAATAATAATACTCTCTCATAATTGACAAGCACTTTGTTATTTACAAAAATCATTTATGTATATTATCTTAATTTTGCCCTCCCAATAACCTTAACCTTGAGAGAAATGCTCAAATGTATTTATTGCATAGAAGACAGAGCTGAGAACACAGCTCTGTGGCATAGCACTTGTCTAGTGCACATGAAGCCCTGGGTTCCACCCCTAGCATTACAAAAAAAAAAAAAAAGAAAAGGAGTATGGGAGTCAAAGTATTTCATTCCATTACTAGAAATTATTTAGAAATAATTTAATAATAATTATTATTATTATTACTTACTAGAAATTATTTAGAAACTTTCCAATAACCCATGGAAGAGAAAGCACATAGATTTCAGGCAAATATAGCCGAATAGAAAACAAACAGGACTGGTGGAGGGCAACTTGGATTCACCTAGCCAGGGGACCTTAGGAAACTATTAACTAGTTAAGGGAACTTAAGGGTGCTACTAACTAGCTGGGGGACCTTAGGAAACTCCCTGAACCCCTTGTTTCTATACTTAGAAAACAGGAATAATAACATTGATTCTGTCCTTCTACTTCTAGCCATGGGATTCTTGGAAGAATCAAATTCAGTAATAAAGTTCATGGAAAGGCACAGTACCCAGGGAAATGCTAACAGATTATAGTGATTGTGACTACCATGTTTTAAATTAATTCTGGCAATTTTGCTACAGTGTTTCTGCTTTGATAAGAGGGGGAAAATTGTGCAGGTCCTGGCCTGGAGACAGGCAGTTAAGGGAGTAAGAGGAGAAGGGAACAAAAAGAAGAGGCTCAGAAAGTGAGACTAGGATACTTCCCAACTTTCACAAAGAAAGTGGAGGCTGGCTGGGAGGAGTGATTTTTATCATATTTTATAAATGAGAAAACTTCTAAGATAGGGAGACCTTAATTGATATAAACTAATTAACTTATTGGTATTGACACCAGACTGACTCCATGTCACAGTCTCTCAGGAACCCCGCCCCCCACACACACTTTTTTGTTATTCATTGACTTTTAGACTTAGAAACTCATCATATCACACAAATGGATAAGTACCTCAGCCCTCCAAATTTCCTGTGGTGAAATACTCCACAGACCTAAAGGAATAAAACAGATCCTAAGCATATTTAGTTGACCTTACTAGTTTTTGACTCCCTAACCTGGGGAGATATGCAAGGCCAGAGAGGCAGAGAACACAGTGGTTAAGAACATGGATCCTGAATCCAGTCTGCCTGGGCTTAATCTGGCAACTCTGGGTCACTGGGCAAGTTACTTAACCTCTCTGGGTCCCAGGTTCCTCATCTGTAAAATGAGGATAAGAAATAGCACCTGTTTAGGTTTTCTGTGACGATTCACAAAGTATAAAAACATAGTATACGTGCAAAACTAGGGACACAGCAAAAACAGTGCCAAGAGGAAAATTAAAGCTATAAACCCTTACATTGGAGGAGCAGGGGGAGGAGGAGAAAGATATCAAATTAAAAAACCTAACTTTACAATTTAAGAACTAGAAAAAAAGAACAAACTAAACCCCAAGTCAGCAGAAGGAAGAAAGTAATAAACATCAGAACAGAGATGAAAAGAACTGGAGACTAGAAAAACAATACCACTGAGCCATACACTTAAAAATGGTTAAGATAAAAGATTTTGTTATATGTATTTTATCACAGTAAAAATTTTGGAAATGAAGAGCATTTCAAAAATGAAGTTCCAGGAAGATTCCCTGGTATATATTAAGAATGCTAGTTATCAAGGGGAATTAACTCAAGAATTTATTTTTCTTTACAGGTATACTTTCTGGAGAGATAATAACCAGGTTTGTTTTATTTGGGAGTACTCCTGAAACAAGAAAACCTTAAATGAATGAGCCTGTTTACTGAGATCATCCAGTTGAAGCAGAGATGAGGAGAAGGAAGAGTCTAGTGGCTACTTTGGAGCAAGGGGTTCTGTCAAAGAAGCCAATAATAGGGAGTCCTTTATAGAATTCCAGGGCCATTTGTCAGGGGTTACCATGATATATGGCTCCTTTGAGCCACTCTGGGATACTGGGTTCAGCCCTATGTAAAATGATGAAGAGTGATAACAAAAAAAATAAGGCAGGGTGATATAGAAATAGATCACTCAGCTAGGAATCAGGAGACCTGGCTTTGAGAGGTGGCTCTGGCCATAATTGTCCCAATGATCATCTCTTCTCTCAGACTCAATTTAGCAATTGGCAAAACGAGATCAATAAACATCCCTTTCCTCTTAAACAGTTCACAATTCCATGATTCATATACATATCTAAAAAAGAGACTTCACCTCTTTGTTAAATTAAGACTTTTCAAGGCAATTATGCATTTCAGGATTAACAGATTAATAGCAATTATACTAGAAATAGAAATACATACAAATAGAAAATATGTTGAAATAGAAAGTCTCATATTCGCCAGACACTGGTGGACACTCTGTAGGTATCACTTCACTTAATGTTTCCATGATCTTATAAAGTACTATTTTCTTTCATTTTATAGATAAGAAAACCAAGGATCCAAGAAGAAAATGACTTGTCCAAGATCATATAGTTCTTGGGTGGTACAGGCAGGATTTCAATCCAGGTCTGTCTAACATCAAAATTTTTGCTTTCTTTCAGCATGGTAATCTCCTTCTACCCAGGTGTTATTAACTCATCTCTACCAGGAAGTATAAAATTCTAAAACATTTTTAAATGCATATGTGTATAAAATATTGAAATTGGAAGGCCCCAAACTGTCATGTGTTTGAATTCCCTAACTTCACAGTGTCTCAGAGAGAAGAGACATCATACTCAAAAGCAAGTGCAGACCCGCCGGGGAACCAGGGTTTCTGCCCTGAAACCCAGGCACTTCCTCCACTCTGCCAAGCAAGGTGTCACCATTTCAGACACTGTCCGCTGAGCTCGAAAATTCTGAGGGACAAGAGCGACTTTGGGTGCAGCTTTGATATCGTGCCATTGAATAAGTCCAGGCTGGACCTTGGGTCACGTGGTGGAATGAACTAACAACAATTTTGATACCTTCTTTGCTGTAATTAGAGAAATGTAAAACAAAACACATCAATATTTACCTTTCGCTTTTTAGCAGCTCCATTTGTCCCAGGGACAGTTTCACACAGGCGACTTATTGCTTCCCTATAGAACAGAAACCATAGAAATACTTAGCATATCACCTACACACTATAAGCATTCAAGAAATGCTAGCATTATTATGACCAGCAAGTATGCAGACATAAACAGTGAGGCTGCCATAAATGACCTTCCTGTGGCCCCACAGGAGAAAACACTGCGCTTAGTCTCATCTGCAGTTAGTTCAAACTCAGGGAGACCTAGCAATACCCTAATATTGAAAAACTGCTTTCCAACAAGGAATCCTACTAATCTTTTTACTCATTAATTTTTTTCCTTAGATTTTCAGATTTGATTTTTTTGATTTTATTTATATATGACAGTGGAATGCATTACAATTCTTGTTACGCATATAGAGCACAATTTTTCATATCTCTGAATGCCAAATGCTTTCTTTGATATAAGAAGACTGACTCATAGTGGGATAGGGAGAGAGATCATGGGAGGAATAGACAAACTCTAGATAGGGCAGAGGGGTTGGAGGGGAAGGGAAGGGGCATGGGGTTAGAAATGATGGTGAAACATGATGATCACTATTATCTGAAGTACATGTATGTAGACACAAATCGGTGTGAATATACTTTGTATACAACCAGATTTGATTTTTTTGTCGTTGATTTTTTAACCAAAAAGGAGGGGCCAACCTTTGTCTTCTGGGAATACTTCACAATTTTTCCTTTAGCAAAATCCTCACTGTGGTTCATGGTTATTTCAGCACCAAAGACAATTAAAAACAAACAAATACAACACTAGAAGAAGTTTGAAAGGATAGGGAGAGCATTGGACTTCAAGGTGGGCTCAAATGGAGGCTTATTGACTAAGTAACTGCTACACACCATTGAGCTTTCATGTAATTTCACAGAAGAAAAAGAAAATCAATATCAAATTTCCTCCTTTGCTTATTTTTCTGCTCTTACTACATATTGCACTTCCTGAGAGAAAAGCACCACTAAAATAAGTAGTTGCTCCTTAATGGAAGTGGTGGAGGAGAAGCACCCTCCTCTCCAGAAATGCAGTTATAACTAAAAGCTTTTGTGTCTGGGACGATGATCATTCATAACCTACCCTTCCTCACTCTGGGTAATATGAACCTGAGCCTTTTGCTTTCAACACACACATTTAACTTTTCACAAGGCAAATGGAATTCTCTATGCTCCTTCCTGGGTCTCCCCAGAGATCACTGTTTAAAGTAACAAATTGTGTATGAAGATAATACAACATTGTATTTCAGGTTTTTATAATATTTTCTGAAATAATTTTGATTTCCACAGAAAGAGGGGAGCCATCAGAGAAAGGAATTCAGACCCATTACTAAGAAGCTACAGTTAGGATAGGTAATAGTGCATATCAGTGATCCAGAAGACACTTTGGAAGGGTGAGCTGAATTCCCAAAGATTTCACACACATCATTTCAGAATTAACATATATGTTTTAGCCTAGGATCTCTTTTTTCCCTCTGAATAAATGAAACTCTTTCCAAGGTATTATCTTGTCTGATTTTGCATAATTACCTTCAACCAAAGAAGAGTATGGCTCCTTGATTTAGCATATTTTCTCAAGATTTCATATATTGTTTCCTCTAGTATTCCAACCTTTATTCTCTGAGTCAAACAGAAGGATCATGCAGAAGGTTGGTTGATTAATGTTCTGAGTCACCTTAGTGATTATTAAATAATTGATGAGACTCATATAATTGATCCAAATTGACTTCCAAAACTGCCAAAATAATTAGTCCAGGAACTCCACTGTATCCATAGTATTTAATACAGTATTATAAGAAAGGGCAGGACCTTTACTCCATAAGAATCAATTAGGGTGCTTTGAAAGTAGTTCAAAATAAAGTATAAAGAAAGGTGGACCCTGATGCTACCAAATATAATAAGTATTATTAGAATTATTTTTAGAAGAAGGTATTACTTTTATATAGTGCCTTATAGTTTTACAAAGTGCTTTCCCAGGTATTGGGTTTATTTGTTTGTTTGTTTTTAATTTCTCACACACCTACTATCTTCTAACAAAAGTAACATGGTAAATCTGAATTAAAGGGGACTCTTTAGCATGGGCACCTCTCAAGAAAGGATGAATCTACCTGGCAGAATGGGGACTGAAAATCCCAGAAAGAGAAGAGCAGAAGCATGAAGTATACAAGGGGAACAAATACTTTGACATTGCTAGAGAATAAAATGTGGTAAAGCAGGAGTGGATGAGAGATAAGAGATGAGATGAGAGTGGCAAATGTTTTTCTGTTAAGGACCCTATAGCAAATATTTTAGTCTTTGTTCTGTTCCAAATGCTCAATTCTGCCACTGTAGTGCAAAAAAACAGCCTTAGACAATATGCCAACAAATGAGCATAGTTGTGTTCCAGTACAACTTTATTTCTAGAAACAATCAGTTGGCGAGATCTGGCCCACAGACCATAGTTTGCTAATTCACACAGAAGGAGAGAGAAAAGTTCAATCTTAAAAAAGAGGAAACTGTTTTTATACATTATCATTTTAAAATTAGATTTAAAACAACTACATGATACTTCATTTACATTAGGAAAAAAACAAATATGAAGTCCATTACCACTTCAGACATATTTATCCATTGCTAGGAGCCTAAATAGTATTAGCATAATCTTTCTAAAGAGTAATTTGATAAAGCATGACAAATATAAAAATTATCAAAGTGTTTGACAGGGCAAGAACTTATATTGGAAGAGTGTGTAAGTAAAAGGAACATTTATTTTAGAATAGAAAACCAACCCCAAAGCTTGTGCTGTAGAGATAAAATATGCCAAATTAAATATTGTCGGGAGGCTGAGAAAAGAGGATCCATTGAGCCCATAAGTTCGAGGCCAGTCTGAGCAACATAGCAAGACCCTGTCGAAGGAAGGAAGGAAGGAAGGAAGGAAGGAAGGAAGGAAGGAAGGAAGAGAGGGAGGAAGGAAGGAAGGAAGGAAGGAAGGAAGGAAGGAAGGAAGGAAAAAGGAATTGAAACTGGGTTTCAAAGAACTTAAATTTTACTGCTTCCAAACAAGGCAGCCGATAGTGGAAGACACAGAATACAAATCCAGGTCTGACTTCAAAACTCTCACTCAGCCAGGGAAGAGCAACATGGCCAGGTGGATAGGAGGAGGCCCAGGCTGGGGTGGGGGTGGGGGGATATTGATTGTCCTTCTTTTCCTCATGTCCCCTGTCCCCTACAGAGAGAGGACTACCTTTTAGCCAACATTCACATCAATGTGGCTGAGCTAAACTGCCAAGGGAAAAGGGGAAATGGGCTGGGATCAGCTCTGAAAAGGCTCTTGCTGAAGCCCCAACCCTTCCCCAGCCTTTGCATTCTGTCCCTTGGCTGCTAGTGCCTTCTGGCAGAGGCATGTGAACACTCACACACTCACCCCAGCTGAGGTGCCTGCAGCTTTACAGTGTGAAAATCTCTGGATATACAACTCTCCTCAAAAGAAAACAAGGGGGAAACTTGTGCTTATGAACTTACTTTGAAAATGGAGAGGTTTTTGTTTTGTTTTGGATTTGAAACTCTAAAATGAATCATGGGTTCCCTCCACCCAAAAAAAAAAATGTGTTCAGGCTACCTTTATTCAATTTCAAAGGGCCCACTTCCCACCGCACTGCCCCCAAAGCATTTGTAAACCACTGCTTAAAAATAACCTCTGAAACTCACTTTCTTTGCTGATGTCAGTGTTAACAGATCTGGAAATTTCAGGCATGGAAAACAGATATATGCCTGCATTTTGTTGCTTTTCTTTCAAAGATCTTTTCTTTCCCTGAGAGTGGGATCAAGAAATTAACTGTAATATTTTCAAGAACAAATAGTACTTTCAGAGTTTTTCTGGAGTCTCAGCCACACCCTCCAGCCTAATACACTGACTGTACAAATGCTACCGAAAAAGAAAACACAGTTGGGAGCCTGCAGTGGCGACTTCTCCCAGGGCCCAGGGTTCCCGCCTTCCTGGCTGCCAGCAGTCTGCATTTCTGCATAGGCCTTTTGGAGCTGTCTTGCCATGAGATCCTCTGCAGCTAGCAAACATTTGGCACTTGTCTTCTCTTAGAGGAGCAGAATTTTTGGAGTTTAAATGGCTGAAGATTTCTATCCTGGGAGCCTGTTCTAGAAAAAGAGAGAAACACCCCACAACACCAACAGTGGCCACTTTGTTTATTGTTTCACCACATGAGAAGGAAGGGGAGAAGTGGGCTGATGTAAGAGAAGGAGAATGCAGTTGAAGATTTGCTTTTAAGACTATAAAACCCTGCCTACGCCATAAGACCAAAAAAAGATATTTTGTCTGCCTTCACAAAGTCCAAACCAATCATCTAAACAAAGCCATCTTTCTTCACTAACCCCAGGCCCACTGCAGTACTTAAGTTATAATTTTTCTGTGTCTTTAACCCTTAAACAGTTAAGCTCCTTTGGCAGCAATGTTGCCTAACACCCCTCTCCTTTTCTTCCCCCCAAGTTTGGAAGGCAATATCACAATCCAAGACAAAGTGGTACAGTTAATGGGGGGAAGGGCTGCAGGGCAGTTTTCTCCCAGTGAAAATGCAGTTCTTCAGTAAATAGAAAAGCCAGAAAATGTGTCACATGAAACCAGGCAAAAAAAAAATAATCATTCCTCTGGAATGATTGCAGGCAATGTTCCTGCAATCCCCCACCCTGCACACACACTCAGTCACAGCCACTGTCTCACATAACACACATGTCCACACACACAGTGAAGGAGTGGTTTCAGTTTTGTGGCAATAGAAAAGAACCTTTCCAAACTGAAAAGATTCTGGCCACACTAATTTGCCTCTATTTCCCAAGGGACTTCCCCTTACTTCTCATCTCCAACATGATCCTTAAAGAAAACAGTTAACAATGTCTAAGGGTCAAGTTGTCCCCTGAAAGTCTCGAATTGCCTTCATGTTGTGAATGAAGGGACTTGTGAGTCATTCAGACTCCACCTCGGTGTGGTATTATGTTATTCCAATTGTTCTAGGGAAACCAGTGCCATCTTTTTCA